AAAAGCTGAGGACATTGCGTCCCTACAGATGTCTTTCCTCAGAGTCTGAGGAAAACGCACTGCTTCCCCGGAGGCAGGCTCAACCTGCTGTCACGAGCTCAGGGGAATAGCTGGGATGAGCCACAGCCCGGCTCTGCCCACTGCTCTTCTGACAGACCAGAAGTCCAGGCTGAAGCCGGCAAATGACAGTCTGTAAAGTGGGAGTCAGTTAATTACAATGCCTGGATTTCCTGCATTAGGTTACTACAAACAGATACTGCACCAACTTTGCCAGGGCATCTAACAACTCTAATATCTGGTCAAAGAAGATGGCACAGAGTATCAGCTGAAATTAGGAGGATGCATGCTTTTGAGAAGGAGAGAGACTGGATTTATAGACATATGAATACACATGTAAAAACATGGCTAATCCCAGGTTTGCTGTCATATCGCATGCTGTAAAATGGCTAGGTTATATCTGCCCTGCACGCTTGCATTTCATTAAACATAAATACACAAACAGGCCTCCAACCCAAGAGAAATTTTCCCAGAACTTAGAAGAAGATCTGAAGCACCCTGTGCGGCTTGCAGGGGCGGTCAGCAGCCCACAACGGATGCACACAGCCAACCAGGGGAGATAAAGAGAGGTTGGCTCGTGATGCCACGGCCGCCCTTTCACGCAGAGAGCTATCAAGTGGCCAAGCACGCGCTCCCTAACCCAGTCCTCTCTTGTTTACCTGTGCAAAGCAACCCAAAACTATACACAGGCTTTCACTGTTTGTGCAAGCCATGTTATTTTTGTAATTAAATCCAGGTCCACAGCCTGGATCTGCGAGCTCCTCTCCTTCCCTCACCATTTGCCTCTCTCCAGCCTTGTCCGGGTTTACATGCTGTGTCATTAAATTCCACAACCCTAAACGCGGCAGCCTCTCCCTCCAAGCACCGATCTGCTGCTTTCTAGGCTGAAAAATTAGACGCGGGGTTAATTCCACTGCTGCCAGGACTCTGCGTTTTATTTTTCTTTACTTCCAAGTCAAAGGATGCTTTTGGCAGATGCGTAGCCAGGAAAAGATCATGCTTGCTCTCGGCTTCCCCTCCCCGCTCCTGCGCGCTCCCCCCCTGCCTCGGCCAGGTCCCAAACTGAAAGCAGGACAAAGTGTCCATACAGCCCCCGCTGCCACGGAGCAGCAACGGGCCGCTTGGGGGGGGGCGCGCGGGAACTACAAGCAGGAC